GATGATGAAAGTATTTTCTTTTTGGGGATTTTCTTTCTTTTTGGGGCACCCTGCCTCGGTGGGAGACGGCCGACTTGCGAAAAAAAAAAAAAAAACTTAAGGTCAACCAACTGTTGTGTGATGCATGTCAGAAAGAACTTGCCACATTCACTCCTTGCTCTGCAAAGTCAAGTAAACATGCAGTATCATGGTGTCAAAGTACATGCAGGCAATTTTTCCATAAACATTTTTAATCTCCATGCTCCAGCGAACCAGCAATGACCTGGTGCTTTACCAGATCGCATCAATAGTGAACCTACTTTCATTCTTGGAGACTTTAATGCCAGACATTAGAATATTGGTGGGTCTATAACAAACACCAATGGAACTAAACTAGTGAAATTTCTAAATGAGCATGATAATGTTTGAATTGTGAGCACTACTGAGCCTACTCACATATATGGTGCCATACTAGGTCTGTGCCTTGGAATTTATACATCATATACGATGCATGACTCTGTCATAGTTGATGATCTTCTATCTGATCACTTCCCTAGACTCATAACTGTCAATCTTGATCATATCTCCAGCAATCAAGGAGCTAAATACAGAAGGAGGAAACTTATTCTTAACCCAGAACACAGAGACAACTTTATTAACCACTTGGATCAATGGTATACAAGAATTACGAGACCACTGGCACACAGAAATTTGATGATGATCTAGTTGCCACTATTGAAACTGTACTCACGGATCAAGTGGGCAGGAAAAGAAAACGTAAACCTTCCACTATAAATGACAATAAAAACCTATGTAAATACTATAATGATCCAGAGCTATGCAATCTAACACATGCAGCAGCTAGGAGGATTGGTAAAGCATACCGTGAATGTAGAACCCCAGACCTGCTCAGAACGTTCCAAACTGCACTAACAAATGCAAGGAATAGAAAGCAAGAACTTAGGCAACAGGAATGGGAACAAATTGTTAGTGTGTTAAATAGGTCTTCCCCTTTAAGTCTGGCTTGGAAAGGTATAAATAAAATAACCTGGAAAAAGACTGGCAATGTTGCTCATCCCTTTCCTCTTGAAAAAGCAAATGACCTCATAAATCACTGATCCAAAACATCCAGGCATGAAAACCTTCCATCTCATACTAGAAAAAACTTATAGTGCTTCTGAGGAAATGTTGAAACTAATTAATGTTATGAGCCAAAATATTGATGAGGGTGATTGCCTCTTCACCGCCTATGAATTAGATTATGCATTAACCTGATAATCCTTTGTTGGCACTGTATAAAAGCAGTCACATTGAGGGTGTTCTTCCTACTTCCTGGAACAATAGTCTCATTGTGTCTACCCCTAAGCCCCAACAGCCTGATACATTTAGACCGATCTCCTTGACTAGTTGTCTTTGTAAAACTTTTGAAAGAATGATATTTAACAGACTGTACTACAGAATCAAACACCAACTTTCTCCCTACCTCTATGGGTTCATGAAAGGTAAAAGTGTGCAGAACTGTATTTCCACTTTCCTCACTGCACACACCTCTACTAGTTTTACCACATTTCTTGATCTAAAATCTGCATTTGATATTGTAAACAGAACCATTATACTGCATGAACTAGCCAAAATGAATATTGGTGTTAGCTTACTCTGCTGGATAATAGGATACCTGTCAAATAGAGTGTCATCTGTCTTCTACCAAGGCTTTAGAAGCGAGTCTTAAGAAATGTCCCTAAGTACACCACAGGGAGGAGTTTTCATTCCCATGCTATTTAATGTTCTGATTAATGCTCTCCTAAATGCTCTACCTACCTCACCTAAACATACAGTTAACCCTCGGTTATCGGCCATTCCTGTTATCGGCCAACACGGTGGTTGGCCGGTTTTTTGGCTCCCAGTGATCAGCCATTATTTCGGTGATCAGCTGTTTCGGGTGCATCTGCCCATCGGCTGGGGCCGCTTGTACGTCAGTTTGGCTTTGTCTTTCGGTGCGCGAAGAAGCTTCTGTTTGTGCATCCAAACATTTCGCTTGTTTTTCATTTTTTTGTGGGTTTTTTGTAGTGCAACTGTGAAATAAGTAACCATGGCTCCAAAGAAAGTTCCTAGTAAAGTTCCTGTGGTAAAGAAAGTGAGAAACACCATGGAATTTAAGAGTGAAGTGTAGCAGGCATGCAGAGAGTGTAGCAGGCATGCAGGGAGTGTAGCAGGCATGCAGGGAGTGTAGCAGACATGCAGGAAGTGTAACTGGCATGCAGGGAGTGTAACAGGCATGCAGGGAGTGTAGCAGGCATGCAGGGAGTGTAGCAGGCATGCAGGGAGTGTAGCAGGCATGCAGGGAGTGTAACAGGCATGCAGGGAGTGTAACAGGCATGTAGGGAGTGTTGCAGGCATGTAGGGAGTGTAACAGGCATGCAGGGGGTATAGCGGGCATACAGGAAGTGTAGCAGGCATGGAAGAAGTGTAGCAGGCATGCAGGAAGTGTAACAAGCATGCAGGGAGTGTAACAGGCATGCAGAGAGTGTAGCAGGCATGCAGTGAGTGTAACAGGTATGCAGGGAGTGTAGCAGACATGCAGGAAGTGTAGCAGGCATGCAGGAAGTATAGCAGGCATTCCAGAAGCCAGCATTAGTCTTCAATAAAGGTATGTAATACTGATTTAATTGTTAAAAAAATTATTTTTTGGTGAATATTTTTGTCTGGAATGGATTAATTGTAATTATGGTGGACCCTCAACCAACGATTTTAATCCGTTCCAGAGAGTTTGTTCTTACCCGAATTTATTATTAGCTGAATTAATTTTCCCCATAAGAAATAATGGAAATCCAATTAATCCATTCCAGACAGCCAAAAGTATTAAAAAAAAAGTAATTTTTTTACATGAAATATACGTTTCTCTACAAAGAAAACAATGAGATATGCACAATAAATACATAAATAATAAAATGACACTTACTTTTATTGAAGAGTATTGATGAGTGATAAGACACTGTTTTTCTTTAACACTGGGATTTTCAGAGTGATACATGAGTTAAGGCTTCACTTTGCAATCCCCACTAGCATTACAACAAATCATGAGAGTCAGCCTGTCTTTCATAGGCTTGTGTCCTGGGAGTGCCTTTTCCTTCTGAGTAATGTAGGTCCTGTTTGGCATTTTCTTCCAGAACAGGCCTGTTTTGACACAGTTGAACACTCGCTGGGGTTAGAATTTTTCACCTTCGCCATGCCTTATCACACTGTGTGTACCACTATGATTCTTAAATCTCTCAAACCAACCTTTGTTGGCCATAAATTCACCAATATGAGCACTATTTCCAGGCATTTTTTCCTGTTCACCTGGGTGTAGTCGACTGGTGTGGGTAGCATCCTGGGAGACGAGATTAAGGACCCCAATGGAAATAAATTAAACATTCCTCGATGACACACTGACTTTCTTGGTTTATCCTGAGTGGCTAACCCTCTGGGGTTAATTGTTTCTCGGTAATTGTTTCTTGTTAAGCCACACCAACAGCACTCTCAGCTGACGGTGGTGCAGCAGCAGCTACCGTGGTACAGCAGCAGCTGACAGTGGTGCAGCAGCAGCTGATGGTGGTACAGCAGCAGCTGATGGTAGTGCAGCAGCAACAGCAGCAGCTGATGGTGGGTACAGCAGCAGCTGACTGTGGTACAGCAGCAGCTGATGGTGGTGCAACAACAGCTGACTGTGGTACGATAGTATTTCTCACCCTTTTTACCACAGGGTTGGTTCTAGAAGCTTTCTTTGGGCCCATGGTGGCTTATTTAGCAGTTTTTGTATTATTCCATAAAAATAATACAAAATGTATTGCATGAATGCGTGAAACCGTCTGCCCTGGCTTGTAAACAATGGCACGCTAACTGAAGGCAGGGCAGCTGAGGCACTCAGGCTGGACGGACAGGCAGATGCGTTCAGGACGAATGTCGTTACCTGAGTTTTTCATCATTGGTCGAGCCAATATTTTTACGCAAAAACGCATCATTACCCAATTTTATCGTTAGTTACTGCCATCATTGGTCGAGTTTCCACTGTACATTAATTCTTAGGGGAAGTATTATTTCGATTTTTGGCCATTTCAGTTTTAGGCCGAGCTTCTGGAACAGATTATGTCTGATAACCAAGGGTCCACTGTATAGCTATAAGCTATGCTAATGACATCATGATCCATGCAACAGGGCGAAAGAGGATGAGTACCATTCTTAATGAAGTTCAAGCAATTTGAATCGACTAGGCCTCATAATGTCTTCCTCTAAAACAAAGATATTAACAAGCAAGGGATATCCCCCACCCATCTATTTGCAGGGTGAAAACGTTAGCTATGTTAAAACTTACAGATATCTTGGTGTAGATGTACTCTTGAACAAATCCACTATACCACAACTAAATAAGAAATGCAAAGATAGGCTAAATGCTCTCAAAGCTGTTGCTGGCTATAACCCCAACTACAGTGCTAATGTGAGAATTGTGAGAATGGTCCTTAATTGATTATGCTGCTCCCACGTTGATATTAGCTGGAGAAAGTTCTCTCCGACCCTTGGAGTTAATGCAAAATGAAGCTCTCAGGATTATTCCTGGTTGTCCCATATCTACAGAAGTTCTTAATATGAGGAAGGAGCTTGGTATTTCAGTTTTATAACCTGCATGAACTGTATCACTGTAGACAACAAGAGCAGTTCACCCCTCCATGGAAGATGTGTTTATTTAATATCACGATGTTGTTCCAGGGATAATACTTGCACATAATTTTCAGTCACAGAATCACTCTTCTAACTTCCTCTAACTCTGTCTTAACTGAAGATACAGTTGGTCATAGTCGAGGTAAGTCATCATCACAGTCTCAGTTAACTAAGAACAGAGATCACGCTAGGTACGTCTTCATATGTTACACATCACGCAGATTTATCCCAGCCCATTTACACAATCTCATATAATTTTTGATTGGTTAAAAGGGATTAAATCAACATTTAAGAATCATTGAATTTACATTTTATTGAAGGTGTATAGAGCCAAAAAGAGTATGTACTTTAGTAATAATATATATTCAGAAGTGCACCAAATAAATTCTCCATTTGGCTGATGGTAACAAAATAAGACTATTCCTAACAGGAAAAAATAATTATTTTAGTGAGACTTCCGGTTTTGCATTTTACTGATGATTTGGAGTGAGATGAGACTTTCTGAGCAAATAGAAGCTTATTTCATTGAACATGATCTTGGTGGAATATTTATCTTCCTTTAATTCACAATATATTCCACAAATGATCTACATGAAATTTTTAGTCAGAATTAACATAATGCTAGTAAAGAATAGAACAAAAATGCTATTGTATTTTATGAGGTACCGTAGACACTGAAGGACAGCATACTTCCCAAATTAGACAACCCTGCCAATAGGGATGACCTTTCAAAAAGCTTCAAATATCTAAATGAAAGACTGTCAGTAATCATGTTCACCTATTAATGTCAGCTAGGCCTGTATACCATGTACATGTACTTGTAGTAAAAAAAGATATATGATGATGTGTCATCTACTAACATGTGTGAAACATTTAAAGTCCCAAGACAGAGTTACTGAATTTCCTGTCAAGCTCCCATTATCAACTATAATTTGCTTCGCTCTGTCAACAGTCTTAGACACTTCCGACTTAATTTTTAAAAATCTAAGGATACATCCCATAATTTTTTAAATATCAAAAGCTCCAGTGGTGGGTCATCTTAAGACTAAGAACTGCATCAGGAGACACTTGTCCTGTTTCCTGACCAATGTTATCTAACATCTTGCAATTTTTCATTGGGGTCAGTGCCCCCCATAACATCTTTCTATGATCAGTTAGTAATATTTCAGTCATTTTAATTTCTGACTATTGAGGAATATATTCAGCACTTGGGTATCTTTATTGTGAAAACGTTTTTGCTGACAATTGGCTTTCTCAGTACAGTATAGAGGTGAATGGTAGAAGATGAGAAAGATTTCGAGGTAATCAGTCCCCCAGACTTCAGTCGATGTATTCAGTCCGTCTATCTTGATAAAAGTGTTATCAAGATTGATTGAATGAATTCATTAACTCCAGGCTGAGGGACTGATTACCTCAACCCCTTCATCATCTTCCACCTTTCTCTGCACTGGCTGGATTGAAGAAACCACTGACTTGTGAAACATTTCCAGAATAAAGATACCTGAACATTGCACAAATGTCTTATCCATCAACTGCACTATTACAGTCATGCAACTTGAAATACTAAACCCATAATGTTTACCAGCCTATGATGAATTTAGGTCCATGTCTACAATCTCCCACAATGCATTCCTCGGCTGCTCATAAACACCTAATCAGATTATCAAGACTTAATTACATCCAAATTATTTTCGACAAATTAATACAATCTGTGACAATGAAGCTTGCCTGAGTGACCCTGGCTTCAAAGTCGTAGAACTACGAGACGGACCCTCAAAGGGATATCATCCTCGTACGTGATAATATTTGTTTCAAGAAAGTGGAATCTTCACCTCAACCACAGCGGGACTATTTCTTTATTTACTTTTCCAATATAAAGCTAACAAAATAATAGAGGAAGCCACCATGATTTACACCCTTGTTCATATTATAATGAACACTTTTTTGTTCCATTCCACCCAGCAGTGGAAGGTCTCTGTCAGATGACCAAAAGCTCTAGTGGCGGGTCATCATATGACTAAGACTCTCGACGTGAACCAGTTGTTCTGTTTCCTGAAAAACCTTACCTATTAATATTGGTAGAATTACCGACAATATGTTAAGTAAAAGGACACAAGTGCAACTAATGTGACATTTTATTGTGGCAACGTTTCGCTCTCCAGGAGCTTTATCAAGCCGTTACAAACAATATATGGACACAGAGGTTATATATAGGCTCAGAGTGAGGTGTAATACTAGTAGTAGTAGTAGTAATAATATTAGTTGTAGTAGTAGTAGTAATACAATATGGTAGAACAATCAACTTGCACATTGGTAGAAGGTTATAAAAGCTATTACAGTGGACCCCCGGTTAACGATATTTTTTCACTCCAGAAGTATGTTCAGGTGCCAGTACTGACCGAATTTGTTCCCATAAGAAATATTGTGAAGTAGATTAGTCCATTTCAGACCCCCAAACATACACGTACAAATGCACTTACATAATTGGTCGCATTCGGAGGTAATCGTTATGCGGGGGTCCACTGTACTTGGGTAGCATGAAAATAAGTTAGACAAATATTGACGGTTGGATTTGAGAAGGTCTGTTACAGTGTTCCTCCTCTGTAATGTGCTTGTGTAATATTAACAGGAGAGACTATGTGATGGCAGGGTTTACCGTTTGCAGGAGGATTCTTGCTAAGACTTCAGAGATGGTGAAGCTGCCTTTGTTTTGTTTAATTGTGTTAGAAACAGTGATTAATGTTGATTCAAGGTACTTGCGTATGCGGAAATTAAGTTCTTTGATCACTGTGTCCATGTATTGTTTGTAACATCTTAATAAAGTTCCTGGAGAGTGAAACGTTGCCTCAATAAAATGTCACATTAGTTGTATTTGTGTCCTTTTACTTAACAAACCTTACCCAACCTAATCTAACCTAACCTAACCTAACCTAACTTAATCTAACCTAGCCTAACCAACCTAACCTAACCTAACCTAGCCTAACCAACCTAACCTAACCTAGGCCAAGGAGCACCACCTGCTCCTAGGCTGAGGGACTGATTACCTCGTCATCCAGTCTTCTGTATATATTTCTACAATCTTCAGATCATGTCCATGTATTGTACTGATAAAGTCACTGGATGGCAAACCATCTAATGCTTTACGTCAGTATTATATACCACTGATACAGTTATTTCCTCCTGGTACTTATAAAATACAAAATAATATAGAAGATCAAAAGGAATTTCTCTGTCACTAAGAATATCTCCTGAAAATGAATTTCAGACAGTTTCAATAAACATGATGATATAAGACGACTCAGTAGTTACCTTGTTTATTATCAACTTCATCAGTAAATCTATCATGATCACCTTCATCAGTAAATCTATCATGATCAACTTCATCAGTAAATCTATCATGATCAACATCAGTAAATCTGTCAAATTAATTCTTTAATTTTTCTCATGATAGCATAGTTTATTCTTTATTAAAACATCCTGACCTTTATTAAAACATCCTGACCTTTATTAAAACATCCTGACCTTTATTAAAACATCCTGACCTTTATTAAAACATCCTGACCTTTATTAAAACATCTTGACCTTTTTTAAAACATCCTGACCTTTATTAAAACATCTTGACCTTTATTAAAACAACTGACCTTTTTTAAAACATCCTGACCTTTATTAAAACATCTTGACCTTTATTAAAACAACTGACCTTTTTTAAAATATCCTGACATTTATTAAAACATCCTGACCTTTATTAAAACATCCTGACCTTTATTAAAACATCCTGACCTTTATTAAAACATCCTGACCTTTATTAAAACATCCTGACCTTTATTATAACATCCTGACCTTTATTATAACATCCTGACCTTTATTATAACATCCTCACAATTTTTCTTACCATCAACTACATTACATTTTTGTATTTGTTTCCTCTACTGCTTCATCTCTTTTCAAAACGTCCACATACCTTTTTTTTTTTTAAATTTCTAAATTTTTTTTTTACTCTATTTTACACAGAAACAAAGCTGTTTTAAAATACTTTTTATTTTAGTTCATCTTTCTAAATACTGGCCTAACTAGGTCTATTACTCTTCTATCAAATGCCTTCCACATCCCCCCCCCCAGGCGCTGTATAATCCTCCGGGTTTAGCGCTTCCCCCTTGATTATAATAATAATAATACTCTTCTATCAGTAAATATTTTTTCCCACTTGATTTATCATTTAAAAACAAGCCATTTAAGATATTTACCGGCATATAAGGTGTACTTTTTTCCACCCAAAAAGTCTCGGAATATTCCCCTGCGTCTTATAAGGTGTAGGTGATGGTCAAGTTTAGGGCTCTGGGTTAAACTTCAGCAGTTGTTTACTAACATTATGTTGCAACTGCTTGGTAAAATATTCTTATATATCTTATTGGCTCGTGCGTCTTATATGCTGGAAAATATTGTATATTCTAACTTATTTGGTTTTATTATATTATACAGCTAATTCTGAGTAGTGTAATTAGAAATAAGTGTAGAGTTATCAAAATAATTATTAAGATGGATAATTAGGGGTTGTTGAAGCAGTATATAGAGAGGATGGAGCAATATGAGGGAGTATAATTCTGTGGTGGAGGGAAGGAGGGATGGAGGGGTAGGGATCATCCTAGGGAAGACTGAAGGCAGGGATGGAGGGGTAGGGATCATCCTAGGAAAGACTGAAGGCAGGGGGTAAAGGAGGTTTTCATTGCTGTGAAATTTGTGTGCAGCCAGCAGTAACAGCCTGGTTGATCAGGCTCTGATCCACCAGGAGGCCTGGTCACAGACCGGGCCGCGGGGGCGTTGACCCCCGGAACTCTCTCCAGGTAAACTCTCCAGGTAAGAGGTATGTGTTGGCCTCTTAGAAGTGAGTAGACAGAAATAGTTTGTGATTTGAAGTGTTGTTGGAGTGTGAGTAATATAACATTATTTTTTAAGAAATTCATGAAAGTGGTTAGTTAGGCTCGAGTCCTGGAGGTGTAAAATGCAGTGTTTATGTTGTGAAGGTGGAGTGGAAATGTTACTGTTGGGAAGGTTATCTGAACTGTAATGTCATCATGCTCCTAGCAAGACAATCATTGAACAAGTGACAATGAGAGTGTTTTCTTCTTTGTCGGGTCACGCTGTCTTGGTGGGAGACGGCCCAAGTATTAAGAAATAAATATTTAAAGAATTTAATAGAATTTAAAATTGATAGTATGCTGGCCGGGTATCAGTGGATTTGTGACAGCAACAGAATCGTGGGTCAGCCAGCAGTGTAAATTGACCATTATTTGTCTCTGTCGTTCAGTGATGCCATCACCTTCTGTTGAAGAAAGTAGAGTTTTATTGTTCCCAGATCATTACTTGGAACAATAATATTTAATAAAAACTAGTGAAAAGAACATTCTAATTAACAGATGAAGATATTAAACTTAATAAGAGTTGTGCTTGGAAATACTGGACAACCAGTGAAGGTTCTTCATATATTAAACATAACTCAGACTTTTCTTTCTTGGATAAAATGTAATTACCTCCCATGCCCCATATGTTGTATAACCTCTGATTTTATAGTTCTTTCCAGTGATATTATGATAAAAAAATCCAGTGCTTTGAGGGCAGAAAAAGACATTTGCGCAGATCAAGACATTTACTGAGGAATTGGCTTCTTCAGTCCTAGTATATAGACAACCTAAGAAACGAGTTTATATAGCTGAAGGAATGAGGTGACTTGTGTGAGAGGGTAGAGGAAATAGACATTGTAGTAGCAATATAACTGACGTGTGATGTGCTGGAACAGAGAAGCATCTGTCAGCTGGTAAATGCAGAGGTGACATTGACTGTTAGTGTCATCTAATGACAGTGTCCAAGTTGGGTAGTAAGTGCTTTGCTAAGACTGGAAATACTATATAAACATTATTGTTGTGAGAAAGTGTTGGTCACTGGTCACAACGAGCTAGGGTGTCTTGTAGCTCAATTGCTGGAGCCCTCAGCTCACACGTTGAGGTCCCTGGTTCGATTCCTCATACGGGAGGAAACATTAGGACTTCTTCCTTAACACACCTGCTATCCCTGTTCACCTATCAGTAAAATAGACACCTGGGTGTTAGTCGATTGGTGTGGGTCGCATCCTGGGGAAAAATTACCTAATTTGCGGGAAATGCTCTGCATAACAAGGCGTTTTCTACATAGTAGTATATCATTGATGCCAGCTAAGCTTGTATACTTTGTACATGTACTTGTAGAAATAAAGATTATTTTTATTATTACGGCCTCTAAACACCATCGACTGTATAGGTCATTTTCTGTACTGGTTCACGTGCTTTTACTTCCAGGGATCTTACTGTTTGTCCCACGTACTTTTTAACACATTCTCCACTAGGTTGACTCAAACTTCTGCACTGGTGGCTGTGACAACACAACCACAATGCAGAAGATGAGTCTGTAGCTGCTCTAAACTGATTACTTCTCGTTGTCAGAGACATGTTTAAAGTTACTGTACATTGCTAACAAGCAAAACAATATACTGGGCTGGTGTCTCTTCTGTTGTTCCTGTTGAAAATGCGTTCTGTACGCTTCCTGCAATCGATGATGAAATAATGAGAGATGTGCAATTGCTTCGATGTCGAGTAACATAAGTATAAACAACAGTTTGAAGACTCTGGAAATCAATCACATACTGCCAGCCCCAACTCAGTCACCTGGTTGTGCTACTTCTATGATATTTTGGTAATTTTACCCTTCAGCTGGACGCACACAGCTTCAACACCAACAGCTTCCAGCAGATCATAAAATTCACCACTGACCGGTTGCCATTCTTTGACGTGTTACTCCACACTAACAGAGACAGACTCTTGAAGCAAATAGAAAACTTACGACTTCCTTTTCCTCCTGTCCCGATAACAGAACTAAACGTGGCGTAGGATTCTTTCTAAGGTTATACAGGATGTTCAACCCACAATTCCTCCAACAGGAATGAGAATTCACTATACAAGCTTCACTTTGTAAGACCAGATGAGAACTAATTCGGATTTTTAGCCTGGAGGGTTGGTCACCAGGCTAACCCAAGAAAGTCGGTGCGTCATCAAGGACTGGCTGTCTTATTTCCATTCAGGTCCTTCAATCTTTTCCCCCAGGATGCCACCCACACCAGTCTACTAGCACCCAGGTACCTACTGCTAGATGAACAGTGACAGCAGGTGTTAGGAAACATGCCTAATGTTTCCAGCTGTGCCGTGGGTTGAACCACGGACTCTCGGCGTGTGAAGCTAGAACATTGCCTACCAAGCAACATGCAGCACGCATTCTAGGAACAACGTGAACACTATAGAGGAAATGCCAACCCAATATATTGTTCTGCCTGTGAACAACGTAGCTTCAACTGTATCCCTGACAATGAGAGTTTGTCAGTTTAAAATAGTTACAAACTCTTCAATCTGTCAGAGATTTTATAAAGTACTGACAAACTGACAGCTACACGTCCGTCCTGGAGACTGTCATATCTTGTGAAGGTTGTGAAAAGAAGTATGTGGGAGAAACTCAACTTCCTGGAAGTAACAATAAGTGAACTTAAAATTTCGTGCTTGTGTCCAGCACAGAAGCAAGCAGAGCCACCTCATAAAGTAATAGAGTAGCTGTGAGAACACTTGTAATATAGAGACTTACGGGTAATAAAGTAGCTGTGAGAACACTTGTAATATAGAGACTTACGGGTAATAAAGTAGCTGTGAGAACACTTGTAATATAGAGACTTACGGGTAATAAAGTAGCTGTGAGAACACTTGTAATATAGAGACTTACGGGTAATAAAGTAGCTGTGAGAACACTTGTAATATAGAGACTTACGGGTAATAAAGTAGCTGTGAGAACACTTGTAATATAGAGACTTACGGGTAATAAAGTAGCTGTGAGAACACTTGTAATATAGAAGTTAACATTGACAAATTGAGAAATACTGACTGACAGAAGACATGATCAAAATACACCTCAGACACTTTCAATTAGTTCCTGGCTTTTGATCCAAGGAATTGGAGCTACTCATCCTCTTCCTCTGATCAGACTTCATCACCTTCCAGTTTCCTATGTAACCCCTGTGGGTTTAGCACTTCCCATTCAAAAATGTAAACACATGTTTGATATGCTTCTGCTGCTTAGTAAGACAGTTGGTTAATACTCACGTCAAGTTAATACTCACGTAAAGTTAATACTCACGTCAAGTTAATACTCACGTCAAGTTCGGTCTTGTCGTCAGCAAGGGCTATATTTCCAAGGTTCTGTACAGCATTTTGAACCTTGTTTCTGTTCTGTTCAGCAAGTCTCTTCACTAATTCGTTTCCCGTTTCCCTATAAAATATATAAACACTGTATACAGGGGTTCCCAACCTGGGGGTACATGCCCCCCTGGGGTACATGCCCCCCTGGGGTACATGCCCCCCTGGGTACATGCACTCCCTGGGGTACATGCACCCCCTGGGGTACATGCACCCCCTGGGTACATGCACCCCCTGGGTACATGCACCCCCTGGGTACATGCCCCCCTGGGTACATGCACCCCTGGGTACATGCACCCCCTGGGGTACATGCCCCCCTGGGTACATGCACCCCCTGGGGTACATACACCTCCAGGGGGTACATGCACCCCATGGGGATACATGCACCTCCAAGGGATACATGCACCTCCAAGGGATACATGCATGCCATGGGGGATATGCACCCCCAGGGTTTACATGTAGCCCCAGCGGTGCATGCACCTCAAGGGGAACATGCACACCCTAGGCGACATGCAACCCCAGAGGGTACATGCACCCCCAGGGGGTACATGCACCCCCAGGGGGTACATGCCCTGGTACATTTGCAATTGTCAAGAGGAACATAAGGGTTTGAGAGTATAACCATTGTGCATACCATGAATAATGTAAAATATAAGCAATATATAACACCCTGGTTACATATAAAGAAGTCAGCCATCAAGGCAAGCTCTCCTCTCTCTCTCTCTCTCTCTCTCTCTCTCTCTCTCTCTCTCTCTCTCCCAAGTTACTCAGTTACATATATGTAGCACATCAAAATTAATGAATCATTAAAAATAATACCAAATGCGCTTTAGTCTAGTTTAACCTCTTGAGGGTCCGTGACGTAGATCTACGACTTTATGTTGAGGGTCCAAACCATAGATCTACATCATGAGCTCAGCTCACTCTGATAAGCTGTGAGCGGTTAATTTTGGCCTTGATATGAGAGAATACATCTATGTGGTATGTGTGCACCACATAAAACAAAGCTTGCAGCACACAGTGCATAATGAGAGAAAAAACTGAGACCGTAATTTTCAATTAAAACAACGACTTTGCAGTGTTCTTAAGTATGTTTTTTTTTAGTTGTATTTGCGATTTCTTGGTCTCATTTGATAGAATGGAAGATATACTACAGAAATAGAGATGATTTTGATTGGTTATAGTTTTGGAAATGGCTTGAAACTGAGCTCAAAGTAGCGGAAATGTTAAATTTTTGCCGATGTTCAAGAGTAAACAAATGACCTCACACGTCTAATACACGGCAATGGTTGGGTCTAATATATGTTCACAAATGTGATAATATTATTTATACAATTATTGCAATATTGCATAACAGTATATCTTCTATTTTTTGGTTTGAATAAAAATTCATTATGCGAATAAAAAATAAAAATGGAATTCATTAGTAAAGCCTGAAAATGTAACTAATGAACAGAGGAAATGTTAGTTTAGCGCCAGGAATACCTGAATTGTTTATTCTGGACCCTATTTTGAAATTGGAGTATTTTGAACTTTGCATTAAATTGGACAAATTACCAATTTCCCATCACTTCATTTTGTAGTTGAAACAGTTGACTTACCTGGAGTTTACCTGGAGAGAGTTCCGGGGGTCAACGCCCCCGCGGCCCGGTCTGTGACCAGGCCTCCTGGTGGATCAGAGCCTGATCAACCAGGCTGTTACTGCTGGCTGCACGCAAACCAACGTACGAGCCACAGCCCGGCTGGTCAGGAACCGACTTTAGGTGCTTGTCCAGTGCCAGCTTGAAGACTGCCAGGGGTCTGTTGGTAATCCCCCTTATGTATGCTGGGAGGCAGTTGAACAGTCTCGGGCCCCTGACACTTATTGTATGGTCTCTTAACGTGCTAGTGACACCCCTGCTTTTCATTGGGGGGATGGTGCATCGTCTGCCAAGTCTTTTGCTTTCGTAGTGACTGAATTCTTGTGCTCAATCGATAGAATAGAAGTAATACTAGTGAAATTGCTAAGGATTTGGTCGACTGGAATAATGTAATTGGCCTAAAATGGGAGTCAAAGTCGGCAAAATCGCCGATGCGTTAATATCGCTGACACATCAAAATTCGTGAGAGCATAATTTCGTCAATTTTCCATCAAATTTTGTACTTTTTGCTTTATTACCTTCAGAAAAAGATTCTCTACCATTTCATAAGAAAAAATAACAAAATTATTTTTTGAAAATTCTTGGAAACTGGTGCAATCTTTGAAATTTGGTCTCTGGACCCTGAAAGGGCTAGACTCATACGAGGGTAGCCGGCAGCACTTAGCTTCAGTTATCCAGAAGCCATAGTACTCAAATTTGTCAATTACTTTTATTAATTCATACAGTCAGGTGACATTTATCATATATCATCCACTGGAGGACAGGAGGGTCAGAGGAGGCATGATAACTAAATACAAAATACTGTGAAGAATTGAAAAGGTGGACAGAGACAGGATGTTCCAGAGGTGGGACACAGAAACAAGGGGTCACATCCTGGGGAACATGATAGAGGACTACAATGGAAATAAGACAGAGAGTCTCTGGATGACGCTGCCTTGGGTTATCCTGGGTGACAAACCCTCCGGGGTTTAAAATCTTATCTTAACCCCTGCCGTAAACTGCATAGAAATGTTTCACCACTCGTGGTGAAAACGTTTCCTCTAATAAATGCCATTAACTGTGCATTATTAGTCTTATGGTAGTTCAGACTCAGAGGGAATGTTACAGAGTGTCACCGCCAGGACTGCCATCTAGCGGGTAGCTGCAAAACTCCAAATTTCTTCAGATCCGAGTACTTTAGTTTCTACTCCTGGTTTCTACTCCTGGTAATATTAACCTTACTTGGTGTGTTTCTACTCCTGGTAATATTAACCTTACTTGGTGTGTTTCTACTCCTGGTAATATTAGCCTTACCTGGTGTGTTTCTACTCCTGGTAATATTAGCCTTACCTGGTGTGTTTCTACTCCTGGTAATATTAACCTTACCTGGTGTGTTTCTACTCCTGGTAATATTAACCTTACTTGGTGTGTTTTTACTCCTGGTAATATTAACCTTACTGGTGTGTTTCTACCCTGGTAATATTAACCTTACTGGGGTTTCTACTCCTGGTAATATTAACCTTATGGTGTGTTTCTACTCCTGGTAATATTAACCTTCTTGGTGTGTTTCTACTCCTGGTATCTTACCTTACTTGGTGTGTTTCTACTCCTGGTAATATTAACCTTACTTGGTGTGTTTCTACTCCTGGTAATATTAACCTTACCTGGTGTGTTTCTACTCCTGGTAATATTAACCTTACTGGTTGTTTCTACTCCTGGTAAATTAACCTTACTGGTGTGTTTCTACTCCTGGTAATATTAACCTTACCTGGTGTGTTTCTACTCCTGGTAATATTAACCTACTTGGTGTGTTTATCCTGGTAATATTAACCTTACCTGGTGTGTTTCTACTCCCGGTAATATTAACCTTACTTGTGTGTTTTACTCTGGTAATATTAACCTTACCTGGTGTGTTTCTATCCTGGTAAATTAACCTTACCTGGGTGTTTCTACATCCTGGTAATATTACCTTACCTGGTGGTTTCTACTCCTGGGTAATATTAACCTACTTGTGTGTTTCTACTCCTGGTAATATTAACCTTACTGGTGTGTTTCTACTCCCGGTAATATTAACCTACTGGTGTGTTTCTACTCCTGGTAATATTAACTTACTTGGGTGTTTCTACTCCTGGAATTTAACCTTACCTGGTGTGTTTTACTCCTGGTAATATTAACCCTTTCTGGGTGTTTCTACTCCTGGAATTAACCTTACTTGGTGTGTTTCTACTCTGGTAATTAACCTTACTGGTGTGGTTTCTACTCCTGTAATATTAACCTTACCTGGTGTGTTTCTACTCCTGGTAATAATTAACCTTACCTGGTGTGTTTACCTCCGGTATATTTACCTTACTTGGTGTGTTTCTACTCCTGGTAATATTAACCTTACTTGGTGTGTTTCTACTCCTGGTAATATTAACCTTACTTGGTGTGTTTCTACTCTTGGTAATATTAACCTTACTGGTTGTTTCTACTCCTGGTAATTAACCTTACTGGTGTGTTCTACTCCTGGTAATATTAACCTTACTTGGTGTGTTTCTACTCCTGGTAATATTAACCTTCGTGTGTGTTTCTACTCCTGGTAATTAACCTTACTTGGTGTGTTTCTACTCTGGTAATATTAACCTTACTGGTGTTTCTACTCCTGTAATATTAACCTTACTTGGTGGTTTCTACTCCTGGTAATATTAACCTTACTTGGTGTGTTTCTACTCCTGGTAATATTACCTTACTCTTGGTGTGTTCTACTCCTGTAATATTAACCTTACTGGTGTGTTTTTCTATCCTGGTAATATTAACCTTACTTGGTGTGTTTCTACCTGTAATATAACTTCCTGGTGTGTTTTACTCCTGGTAATATTAACCTTACTGGTGTGTTTCTACTCCTGGTAATTAACTTACTGGTTGTTTGTTGTTACTCCTGGTAATATTAACCTTACCTGGTGTGTTTCTACTCCTGGTAATATTAACCTTACTGGTGTGTTTCTACTCCTGGTAATATTAACCTTACTTGGTGTGTTTACTCCTGGTAATATTAACCTTACTTGGTGTGTTTCTACTCCTGGTAATATTAACCTTCGGTGTGTTTCTACTCCTGGTAATATTAACCTTACTGGTGTGTTTCTACTCTGGTAATATTAACCTTACTGGTGTGTTTCTACTCCTGGTAATATTAACCTTACTTGGTGTGTTTCTCTCTGGTAATTTAACCTTACCTGGTGTGTTTCTTCTACCTGGTAATATTACCTTACCTGGTGTGTTTCTACTCCTGGTAATTTAACCTTACCTGGTGTGTATCTACTCCTGGTAATATTAACCTTACTTGGTGTGTTTCTACTCCTGGTAATATTAACCTTACTTGGTGTGTTTCTACTCCTGGTAATATTAACCTTACTTGGTGTGTTCTACTCCTGGTAATATTAACCTTACTTGTTGTTTTTACTCCTGGTATATTACC